TCAAATGTGGGTTTTTTTTTTTTATTGTATAGGTAAAGAATAGGAATTCAATTTTTTAAAATAATGTGTGCAGCCCGAAGGCTTCTATCTGTGTCATTTCTAAATCTGAAGAATAAGTTACAAATATCGTTTTCAGGCTTTCCAAATTCAGATTTCTGTCATTGTCTTATCACATAAATTCATGTTTCTGAAACTTAAGAAAAAAAAATAAAACATAGCCAGGCTCAGGAGACCACACTACTAAAACACTGTTTATTCTTTTTTTTTTTAATTGAGGTGAAATTCACATAACATAAAATCAACCATTCTAAAATTTTTTTTTTTTTTCAACGTTTATTTTATTTTTGGGACAGAGAGAGACAGAGCACGAATGGGGGAGGGGCAGAGAGAGAGGGAGACATAGAATCGGAAACAGGCTCCAGGCTCTGAGCCATCAGCCCAGAGCCTGACGCGGGGCTCGAACTCACAGACCGCGAGATCGTGACCTGGCTGAAGCCGGACGCTTAACCGACTGCACCACCCAGGCGCCCCTAAAATCAACCATTCTAAAGTGAATAATTCAGTGACGTTTAGTATGTTCGCAATGTTGTACAACCATCACCTCTGCTTCTAAAACATTCTCCTCACCCCAAAAGGGAACCCCATACCCGGTAAGCAGTTCCCTATTCCCCTCTCTGGCAACCACCAATCAGCTTTCATAAAACACAGCTCTTAACACCTTACCTAAATCATGGATAAAGTCAAGGGGAAAATCTCAGTACGACTAAAAGCACTTTTTAAAGCTTATTTAAACCTAGGATTCTACAGGCCAATCATGGAGGAGTTGGCCAAGCAACAAAGGCCTCATCAAATGAGTTCTTAAGTGCATGCCACCAGACCACAAATGACTGTGAAGCATCAGACTGTCAGACTGCTGTGACCACAGGGGTGTGTGCGTGTGTGTCTGTGTGTATGTGTGGGGGTGTGTGTGAAGGGAAGGGTGGAGGGAGAGGGGGAGATCAAGTTGTTATTGGCTTGCTTGTCATTTCAAAGGATCACACGCAGTCACTGGATTACACACATGCAACATCACACTGTAAAAAATTCAGTGTCTAGCACTTTGTAAGGAGAGTGCTGAATAATTCCCATTGACCGTACCCATTAATCAAACCCAAAAGACGGCGTTCCCGCTCATCTCACTGGTCCATTTTGTCAGAGGAGACACAGGCTAAGATTCATCAAGAATGCTTTTCCAGAAACACCAGGCCTCAAGCTGCTTGGACTTCACAGTGGGGTATTCAAATATTAAAAGCAACCAGCTAGAAACTGAAGTTGGAGTATTAATAAAATACATCACACGCTTAAAAATACTTTTTATGGTGAAGGGGAGAAGCAAAGGATCACCGAGTCTTCAGAATTTCTATTCAAACTGGTCCATGCCAAACCCAAGGAGAGCTTAGCATGAGGCGGAAGGGAAGCTACTTGTCAATATTTTATGCCATTTTCCTAATTGAGCACGATATCCTGAGAGCTGACGCTCCGGGTAGTTCTCTTTGATTCTGAGAGTACAATAAACTGATTGCATCCAAGACCAGCCACTAATGAATATGTACAAACAATATGGAAATGAAACTGTTTAGAATGTAAATGGGACCCTATATGGATTTCTATGATAAAGTCTGAAGACTCTGTACAAAAGTAATCAGTACTGAAAATGTAACGCCACTGTGGCCAAGTTCTCAGAGTAGGCACAGCAGAAAAATAATGCATCTTTGCAAGGAGCTGTGGGGACTCTCAGTTTCAACTAAGAAGCGTGATTGCTCTCGTACTTTCTCATTCAGGTGTGCTGAAAGCCAAGAGGCTAAAGCAAAGGGGCACCTTAAATGGGTAGCACACTGAGCCAGCAAACACATTCTGACTCTGGCTCGTCACCCCACACACGGTCTCGCCCATCCAGCTCGTGGGGCAGTCCCATTAGAGCCAGGCGGTCAGTCAGCTCTTTCGGAACAAGAAGGGACATGGTGCTTTTTTCAAGTCTGAAACAGCCGAGGGCCATTTTAATTCCTTCCCTACGTGCACATGATGAAATCCATCAAGAGCAGAATGGCTGAATGAATACACTATGGCTCATCCAATACTATAGACTATTAAGTAGCAATTTTAAAAATGAGTTGGATCCATACCTCTGACCTGGAGGAAAAATCAAGGGTTGATATGACAATGAAAGCAAAGGAAGTATATAAAAATTCCACTTTGCGGAGATGGCCAAATAATGACAGGACAAAGTCTGTAGTTATACACAAGGAGTGACGGGGAATCTTAACCCCAGGCAGAACAAAATGGAAAAAAAAGAAATTTCCCAAAAAGTATGGTGCCCCGAGGGTACGTGCACACTTCAGTTTGGCATTTATGCAGAGCACAAGGGAATACGACTCTTTCTGTTTACCTTGAGTTATTATCACAAGGATCTCAACTCTGTAATAGAGTTTCACACTGGTATATCAATAAACTCTTAGGAGAATTTTTTAAAATTTCCGAATATAGTAATATAAACAATATATAAAACAATGCACTCTGGAAACTGTTGGAAAGCACAAAAATGCCCCATGTGCAGGAATAGTTTCAAGATCTTATGGCAAGAATAAATTCTATCCTCTGTGGGCTTTGTACAACTCCTACCCACAGAGGAAAGCAACTTGTTGGTTCAAAGGCACTACCCCCAGACACACGAGCAAATTCAACTCAGTAGACTCTCCTTGTCCTCGCTGTAGTGGAGACATACCATATGTTCGGTGGCACAGTCACAAAGACATTCGTAAGACTTACAAAAAGCTCCATATATCGGAAATGTATTTTAATAAATAATACTTATGCATATGACATCACGAAAGATTCAACAAAACTCAAATGAGAATGGGGTCAGACAGTTCTCTTACTCTAAAAAAGGCTTCCACACCTGCATTTTCAGCTTTGCATGAACAATTACTGCGTTCATGCGCAAACTCCCAAATTGGTGCATGGAAATAGAAAATTGTACACACAAGTTGAGCAGCCCCGGGCTCCGCTAACCAATTTGCATGCAAAATTGTCATCAGCACTCTCTGGTTTATTTTTTGCCTATGGAAGAGATGGGGGTCTATGATGCCTCAGGAGGCCAATTTTAAGAGGCATTTTGGTTCCCACTATAAAAATGGAGTCCCAAATAGTATCTGAGGTCTATGCACGCATGTGTGTCCCTCCAGCTGCCTTCTCACAGATTCCAGTGGAGGAAGAGAAAAGCTGGAGGGTGAGATCAAGTAGAATAGTTACATGAGAGTAAATGGCCAAGGAAGGTTCTCCAGAATAATAAAACAGAAAAGAAATGTAAGGGGGGGGGGAGTTTTTATTTACATCCAGAAACATGTCGTCTATCAACAACAGTTGGCACAAGAAGGGAAAGATGGATTTTAACCAGGAAGGAGAAAAGATTTTCCCGACTTGCCGGTGAGAATTTATGGAAATGGACCACCAGGAAGTGTGGCCTTTGGGATTGCCAAAGAGGGTGCGATAGGCATCTATTTGCTTAGAAGGCATCTTCAGGTTTTCACTAACATTTCCTCCCACCCCCCCTCCCTCCTGTCTTTCTTCCCTTCACACATCACTGCTGAGCACCTGAAATGTGGTTAGTGTGAACAGAGATGTGCTTTAAGTGTAAAACACACACAATTTCAAAGACTTCACATGAAAAAAAGAGTATAAAATATCTCGATACAAATCTGGTATTGATTACATGTTGAGATGATAATATTTTGAACATACTGAGTTAAATAAAACATACTGAAATTAATTTACCTACTAATTACTAATGAATTTACCTATTTTAATTTTTTCATTTGAAATTTTTACTGGAAAACTTTAAATTACATCCAGGGCCCACATTATATTTCTATGGGGCAGGTCTGTTCTAGAATCTTTTGTTTTAAATTAGACTCATTTTTTTTCAGTCCAAAAAGCATGCTCCCTTCTCCACCTTTATTAAGGTGTCAGTTTAATTCATTACTAAGCATCCTTTAGCTCCAATTATGAGTAAGGTCACTTCTTTTCCCAAAATAAGCCTGTAACACCAAGGAGTGGGGGGAAAGCTGCAACAGTATGTATAGTGTGGGATCAAATGGGTAATCTTCCTTCACGTATACTAAATTTTTTTTCACTAGCTGTCACTATTCCAAGTTGGAGGAAGAAAGCAAAACTTGGTACTGCCTTCCTGTTTGATGTTTTGGTCCCTGAGACCCTTAAATCCCTGCTCTTCGAGAATCTCTAGTAACACAGTCACACTTCCAAAGTGTTTACCTCTCTGGAGCAAGTGGGTTCTCAACATTTTTCTGTTCTTACTCCGTCAGCAGATCGCACGCCCTCCTGAGTCACACCTTTTACCCCATGCAGGAACTCTCAAGCAGGGAATCACTGCTCTGGCCAAACTGGAAATAAGTGCCAGAGGCCCCCAGCCAGCCGGCATCCCAGCTAAGATGATTCGGATCAGAAATCTCAATAGACAGTGGACCCTCCGGTGTGTTTTGCTGAGTCCCTGGCAGTGCTTTGTACTGGACTTTCTGGATGATTTATGTTACATTCCGGAGATGCAAATTCTCCCTCATACCCCTAATAAACTCATTTGTGTGGTCTTAGTGTTTGGACTTAACAGAGCTGTCTCCCTTCCTGTGCTTCCTTGCCTGGTTTCACTGGGGGTAGGGTGGGCGGCTTCGTGATATTCAGAATTCTCATGTATCCCAAGAAGTAGTATTATTTGTTATAACTGCAGTGTAGTTTGTCTTACTTCTAAACGATGCAGATCCTATCAGGCAAATAGAAAACAGAAATCTAGAATTGAATTATAGGGTAGAAAGCTGGTGATGTATCAAATCTGGCTAAGGCAGAAAGATGGATGGTGTGGGGGCCAAGGTTCACTCTCCGGAGCCAAATTACTTGGGTTTATTTTCTATTCGATTATTATTTTTTAAATTGAAGTATAGTTGACACACCATGTTATATCAGTTTCAGGTGTACAACCCAGTGATTTGACAACTCTATGCATTATGCTGTGCTCACCACAAAATGCAGCCATCATCTGTCACCATACTGCTATTACAATAGTATCGACTGCATTCCCTGTGCTGTGCCTTTTATCCCCATGCCTTACTCATTCCATAATGGGAAGCCTGTGTCTCCCTCTCCCCTTTACCCATTTTGCCCATCACCCCACCTTTATTTAAACTCTCAGTGCCACCCCTTAATAGCTTTATGACTTTAGGTGAGCCCTAAGCCCTGATGGGCCTCAGTTTTGGCTATATCATACAAAAGTGATGTTAACCACGCCGGCCGGCATGAGGATTAAGTGAGCTAATGCAGACAGCGCAGTAGAACTGGACCTGGAACCTTTAACTCTTTTGTATATGGGAACCACTAAGATCATTATTGTCAATATTATAATAACCCTAATCATCTCCCAACTTGTCACCGAGCATGACAGGTCTTCATGTCCGCAAGTGGATCCTTATGTCTGAAACCATTCCAGCTGTACATCAATATTATTTAGTTTTCACATATGACTTTAATTTCTCAGCCTAAGCCACAGACCCACATATTTTTTTCCCTGAAACCCTCTTTTAAATGCTGGTTTAAACTTCTATTTCTTTCTTTTTTTTTTTAATTTTTGTTTTTTAATGTTTATTCATTTCCTCAGAGAGAGAGAGATAGCATGCAAGCAGGGGCGGGGCAGAGAGAGAGAGGGAGACACAGAATCCGAAGCAGGCTCCAGGCTCTGAGCTGTCAGCATAGAGCCCGACACGGGGCTTGAACCCACATGCTGTGAGATCATGACCTGAGCCGAAGTCAGATGCTCAACCAACTGAGCCACCCAGGCGCCCCTAACTTCTACTGATTTCTTAATGTGAACCCCAGATGGGTCTAGAACATCAGGACTCAGAAAAGAAAGTGAGGCGAAAAGCATGTTGAGGGGTTCCTACCTCTGTGATTTGCACCAGACGCTACCACAGACTTCCGTGGTATCGCAGATTGAGGAAGGGGGAAGGGCCCACGCTGCGATAGGACTGGAAAGTCTAGGGAGCCAGTTCTAGAAAACGGCACCATCCGTAAAAGTAACGAGGAACCAGAGGAAGGACAGCAGGAGGTCCCAGTGAGATACATAAACCACACTCCAAAAAGAGCAACAGAATAAAAGAGAGGATCGAGAAAAGAGGTGGAACCATGGTGAGAACACATTTAGAGCCTTTAACACACAGCGCACCAGGAAAAGGCAGATGACAGACGAGGGGATGGCCAAGAGGAAGGCATCCAGCAGGAGATGGGACAGGAATATGTCACCACTGCCCTGACCACTCTCCGTGTCTGTCTTGAATCCATCCCAAATTTGTGAAGTTAAATGTGCAAAGAGAAAATATTTCTTGAAGGAGGCATTAAGCCAGGGGTAATTCTAGTCCTGTACTTCCCTTCCTCACCCACACGTCCTAAATTCCTCTACTATTCGCCACCGGCAAGGACTCCTACCCTAAATTCTCCTCCCACTTCAGGCCTGCTCTGCCAGCAGCTCCACTTGGAAGCATTTCAGGCGTAACATTTAAAGTGAAAAAAAACAAAAAAAACAAAAAAAACATTTTATTTTAAAGCCCAGAAGTTGTCCTCAGCTACCACAGAGAAAGGGGAGGCTGCACAGATAGTGTCTGTCCACCCCCGATCACACGCGGGTGGCGGCCTCAGGGAGGGTTGGGTGAGAGCTGGAAATGGAAAGTGAGAAATGTAACTGGAAGCAGGCTGTGGGGGGTCAGCGGCCACCTGACAGCTTATCTGCCTGTTCTTCCCCCACTGTCCTCCTCTTCCCATGTAGTGTTCTAGACTTCAAATACTGCTTTTGAATTGCTTTTCTGAGAATCATGGTTTCAGAGGGTTTTACAACTGAAAGAGCCCTTAAAGACGAGATAAGAGAAGTATTACAGAAGTACTAATGATGATAGCGACAGCTCACTT